GTCTCCCCCTCCGTCCTGCTGGCCTCTCAATTGGAGAGGGGAGACCCAGCGAGCAAGCGCCAGTCCTCCTTTGCCGCTCCCTCCCCGCGGGACCCGTCCTGTGCTGCTCTGCCTCTTGTTCTCTCTTTCCTCCTTTTCTCCCACCAGATTTCTGGCGTCCCTATCTCTCGAAGAGGGCGATGATCTGTCGGAGTTCCGCAGGTGCTCCGGTTGGCCGAGTGGGTCCGTAGATGTGGGTCTCGGTGCACTTGTGGGAGAGGGTGACCTACAAGCGTCCTTCCACTCCGCCATCTTGCCCGGAAGTCCTCTATCTGGCTACTTTTAATGTCAACTATTTGTCTTTCGCATTTATGGTGAAATGTTAAGTGAGATTTTATTCTTATTTATCTTATTCAGGGTCCATTGTTCTTCCTGATATTGGGGATTTGTTTCTTTAATCAAGTCTGGAAAATTCTTAGCCATTATCTTTTGAAATATCGCCTCTCAATAGACATTTTCCCAAAGAAGACATATAGATGGCCAACATACTTCTAAGTAGATTTCCATAAGAAGATGGTTGTTCAACATCACTGATTATCAGAAAAATGCAAATCAAATAAGATATCACCTCACACCTGTAAGAATGGCCGTCATCAAAAAGACTACAAATGACAAATATTGATTAGGATGTGGAGAAAGGGGCACCCTTGTACACTGTTGGTGAGAATATAAATTGGTGCAGCCACTGTGTGAAACAGAATGGAGGTTCCTCAAAAACCTAAAAATAGAACTACCATATGATCCAGCAACTCCACTCCTGGGTATATATCTAAAGAAAACAAAACACTAATTTAAAAAGATACATGCACTCCAATGTTCATAGCAGTATTATCTATAATAGCCAAAATATGGAAGCAGCCTAAGCACCCATCAACAGATGAATGAATAAAGAAGATTCCACACACACAATGGAATACCACTCAACCATTAAAAAGAATGAAATTGTGCCATTTGTAACAACATGGATGGACCTGGAGGGTATTATGCTTAGTGAAGTAAGTCAGATAGAAAACGACAAATTCTGTATGATATCACTTATATGTGGAGTCTAAAAAAATAAAACAAACTAGTTAATATAACAAAAAAGAAACAAACTCACAGATATGGAGAACAAACTAGTGGTTACCAGTGGGGAGAGGGAAGGCCCATGATGGGGTAGGGGATTAAGAAGTACAAACTACTGTGTATAAAAATAAGCTACAATGATATATTGTACAGCACAGGGAATAAAGCCAATATTTTATAATAATTTTAAAGTGATATAATCTATAAATTTTTTGAATTGCTATTTTGTACATCTTAATATAATATTGTAAATCAACTATAATCTCAATTTAAAAAATAAATAAAAATAAAATATTGCCTCTCTCCAATTCTACCATCTTCTTACGGAAATCTGCTTAGAACTATGTTAGGTCTTACTCTTTTCCTCCATATCTTCATATCTCTTCTCTTCCGTATTTTCTATATGTTTACATTTTTGTAGTGTACTTTGGCATTTATTCAGAACTATTTCTAGTTAACTAATTCTCTCTTGAGCTGGTCTAATCTATTTAACCAGCCCATAGAGATTTTAATTGCAATGATTATATTTTTCATTTATATCAGCTCTATTTGGTTCTTTTTCACATCCACTTAAAGAAATAGTTTTATATTTGCTCATATTTCCAATTTCCTCTATTATTTCCTAAACATGCTGTGCATGTTTATTTTATGTAGGTAAATATATACATTTATACATAGTCATATTTATTTATATTCTGCATCTAAACATTCGAATGCATACAATTTCTAGAGATCTGATTCTTTGTTGTTTCTGTTGTCCCTTAGTCATTGTGCCTTATTTCCTCATGGATTTTTGTCATTTTTGTTGGTGAGCTCATGTCCATTGTGAATTTATCTGTAGCAAAAATTCTGTGAGAACTGGGCTGAGTGTATGGTTGTCTAGGCTCACTGCAGTCCAGAAGGGATGATTTATAGCACTTGGTCCAGATGCCAAGGGTCTTTACCAATTCAAGACCGTTTTATAACATCTCAGCTTAAAGTTCTGTTGTTTTTGTTGTTCAAATACTTTTTTTTTTCTGGAAAGTATGTGAACTAAGACTTATTGCAGTGAAGTGCTTCAGAGATAGTAATTAGTCCTTGAGTGGGAAAAATCCAGTAATGTTTGGCAACACTGTTATGCATATTTAAGCAATCCCATCTGGAAACAAAATGATCACACTGCCTGCCAATAAGGCTAGAAAAAGCAGCTGGAACTCCTCATCCTCCCTCTTAAATAACACCTCATAGATTACTCTATGTAATGCATTTTACCTTTGTGTTGCAACAGAGACAGAAGAGGGGAGAGAAGAGAATGAATGAGAGATCCTCTGAGTAATGACTGGAAATAAGGTATGGAATGTGGTGAAATAAAAAGAATCTTACTTATTTTCTACCAGATATGAAATCAAAATTACTATATGGAGCAAATATCAACTTATGAGGATGCAAGAATCATGAAAATAGGCGGTTTCTTATTAATCCATGCAACAAACACTAGAAACTAAGTAACAAGATGACAAAGACAAGTCTGTTTTACTCCCTATTGCATCGCCAGTGCCTCGCATGGCAACCATAGAGTACCTACTGTGTGCCAGGCACACTACTAGCAGCAAGTTGGACATGACCCTTACCCTCAGTCCTATCGAGAAATCTTCCTTCCTCAAAGTCATAAAAGCCTGAATTTGCAGTCAAACAAACTATTAAAGATATTATCAAAGATAATAAAAACAACTAATCGCGCTCCTTATCATGACTATATCCATAGCTTTCTCCTTTAACTGACTCTTCTACAACAGCTCTGTGAAGTAGTCAGGCAAATATTACCATCCCCAGTTCACAGCTGAGATAGTAACAATACTCAGCAGTTACTGAGGGATTCTTACTTGCCAGCACTACATTAAATGCTTTACATTCATTATCTTATTGAATTTCCCAATAACCCTATAGGCAGATACCATTATTTCCCCCATTTTCAGACTAGGAAATAATGAACCTGAAACAAGTTTAAGCAACTGTGTCTGGGGGTGAATAATTATGAAGAGGCAGAACTGTGATTTATTTAAGGTAGTGGGACTCCAGGGCTTTCCATTGTGCCCAGAAAAGGCAGCTGAACCCACACAGCAAGTGAAGATGCAGGAACTAGTACCAGCCAAGGCACCTTTACTACAATCCAGATACTTAAGAGGTGCCCAAAGGTGAAGCTAATTTATTCCCAGAGACTTCGAAGAGAAGATTCATCTTTAAATGACTACAAAAAGTATCCCACCATGACACACACAATTTAACCACCTACTGCAATAATTTGGGGAGGGATGTTTTTGCTTCACTTCCTTTAGAAGCAACGCTTCCTATTTCAATCAAGAACACTCAGAAGTAGCAAGAGAACTCAGCAAACCCAAAATACATCCCCATGCAATCCATATTTACGTGGACATCTGCCTATCAGGGCCAACAGGATGGCAATTTCATGGCTGAGGTGAGTCGAGGCAGAAGAATCAACACAAGGGCTGGAAGGGACTCTGGAAAGCAGCTGGTGACGAGCAAGACACCACTAAGCAGCGCTCGATTTACAGAGGCGGTGAGGCTCACCGAGTGCCAGGATTTCCAGAAAAAAAATCCGGACTAAAAGGCCTTCCCAACATTAGAAATCAGGCTATTCCTCTCCCTCCCCTTCCACTCTTTCTCTTGTTCTCTCTCCAGCGGCTTTCATCCTTTCTTTCCTTCAACAACACATTTTTTGAAACAGTAGTGAGCAGAGAAAACAATGAACAAGACTTTCCAACAGATTAAAACAGAATTAAACGAAGAACCTTATCCTTCGCGCTTCCCCTACCACGGTCCACTCCCCGGGCGCTGGTTAGAAGGCTAGGGTGCGCCGCGGTTGCGGGGCGCACGGGCGCCCCAGGGCCGCGAGTTCTCCGCGATCAGCCAGATTGCGCAGGCGGGGCGCCTGGGCTGCTCCGCGCTCCAGGCGAGCCTGGGCAGAGCACAGCTCCGCCGTCTCCTAGCGACCAGAGGGC